AGAGCTGAAATGTCTGTGTAGGCCGTGCACAGGCTCTTCAGATGCTCGTTGGAGTTAGGGAGTTGGGTCGTTGGCAGCCGCTCTGGTGTCAGGGATGGGATGAGCAGGCAGGGAGGGACTAGGAATGGCACGGGACCACTTCGAGGTGGCCTAGGAAGAAAGCGACAAGGCACGGAGTCGAGATGTTGCCAGGCCCGTATGGAAGCTTGCTGGGACCTGCTGAGAGCCTCTGGGACATGAGACTGGGGAAGCGCATTGCACATCTGGCTCTGCACATCCCCTCCGAGGTCACACACCAGCCACATTGCTTGTTATAGGCTGAATTGTGTCCCCCTGCAAAATCCACAGATGGAAGCCCTAAATCCCCCCAGTGTGACTGGGTTTGGACATAGGGCCTATAAGGAAGTAATAAAGGCTATGTGAGGTCTTAAGGGTGGGGTCTTAATGCCATAGGACTGGTGTCTTTATAAGAAAAGGAGGAGACACCACAACTCTTTCTGCATGAGCACAGAGACAAAGCCGTGAGCACACAGGGGGAAAGCAACCATCTACGAGCCAGGAAGCGAAGCCTCGCTGGAAACCAAATCTGCCAGCACCTTGATTGTGGACGTCTCGCCTCCGGAACTGTGAGAAAATAGCCATTATTTAAGCCACTCTGGGTGTGGGTGGGTGTCTTGTTCTGGCAGCCCGAGCACACGACTACGCTGCTCACCACCAGATCGCTCGCCGGCACCCCTTTTTCAGTCCCGTAAGTATAAGACCGGCGGTTCTCAGGGCTCCCCAGTGTGGCGACTTCCCAGATACCAGAGTGCATGATTTCTCCTGTCTGTTCAGTGAGCTCCAAACTCGTTTCAAATGCTGTCATGCTTTTGGACGTCATAACCGCCTTGCGAGAGAAGCGGGAGAAAGCTGGTTGTCCCCATTTTACAGATGAAGCAATGGAAAGTCGGAGATGGCCTGAGATAACCGAGCTAATAGGTGGCCGCATCTCAACAGAGCTTGCCGTCCACACCTGTCTCCAAGAGGAGATACGGGCCACGTCATCCTTCAGCAGGATGCCGATGGCTGTCCTCGCTTCTTCCTCGTCCTGCCGGCACACGTGCACGCATTTCTTTTCCTTCTCTCTCCGCGGTAGAGCCGGGCCTTTATGTCACAGCAGCCGGAGCTCCCGTCTTTGTCACAGAGCCCGGCCATCACAGAGATCTGTTGGGAGTAGAGGACGGAGGAGGGATGGGGAGGGGACTGGGGGCGCCCCGGGGTCGGGGTGGGGCAGGAACACCCGACCCGGGCTGCGGGGAGATCCCGTGCAGGCCCCACAGCGGGTTTGCTCCCAGCTACTTAAGGCAACACCTTAACACATGGTGCGCACGTGGTCATAAACTGAAGCTCCTTTCGGAAGTTCGCCTTCCTCAAGCCTGTTGGTCTGTGTAGAGCCAAAAAAAAATCTGTTTGGAATCACAGCATTCCTGGGAAAATGTCAGCTCTCACACCCCATTGTCTCTGGAGCTGACATGCATCTTCTCACTTCTGAGCACAGAGACGGTTTGCAGTGGCCCTATTTTGGGGAGCAGGCTGTTTGTGGTGGGCCTATTGTTCCTCGGCAGCTGAGCACGCAGGTCTGGGCCTGTGGGGGGGGGAGGCCACCACCGCGGCACTGCCCCACTCCCCAGCAGCTACAATGGGGGGGTGGTTCTGCTGATAAATGGACCCGGAGGGGCCAGCTTGCGGCGCCCTGAGAGCAGCGTTGTCTCCTGTAGTAATACCTGGGGCGGTGGGGTCGGTGAGGAACTGAAGGCAGGACGAACTTCTGCTGGGTTGGTGGGGCGGGGGGAGGGCTGCGTGCAGATGGCCCTGAGGCAGATGGCGGTGTGGAGGGCGTAGGGGCATGAGGACTATCCAGGGACGACTTGGAGAAAGTAGGGTTTGAGCCCCAGACGCAGCAGAAGAGGTCTGAGATGAGCACCCTGGGTAATGAGACCACTCGGGCCGTCTTGGGGAGCTGGCCTTGTGCTGGCTCAACCCCAGGAACGCTAAACGAAGAGGCCGGGCTTCCTGTCCTGGCTTTGGCGAGTTTTGAGTGCCCTTGACCCCTGGAGGAACAGGGTGGGAAAGGCCCACCGCCAGGTGGAGACTCTTGAGTTCACTCCTGGCTGATCGATCCCTGGTGGCCTGAGCCAGCTTCCAGCTCTCTCTACCTGAATCCCTTCTCTGACCTTCCTCTTCCCCTCGTGACCCAGAGCATCGCCTCATTCCCATCCTCCCGTTTATTCACGCGGTTACTCAACTGAGTATTTTCTGAGACATCCAGATGTGAACAGAACCAACCTGTCTCTCCTTGGAGCCCTTTAGGCATGTGGGGCAGGCAGGTAAGTAGATGACATGTACAGATTATGTGCTGAAACAGGATTAGAAGCAGCTCTGCGGAAGCACAGAGGGGCCAGCAGTTGACCTCGGGTGCAGGTAGGGGTGGGGCCTGGACTTAAGGAAGAGCTTCACGGAGGGTGTCGCCATTGGGAGGAAACCTTAGGGAACCAACAGGAGTTCTCCCGGTGTCCGCGGCTGACCGGGAGGTGTGAGCATTCCAGTAATGTGGCCAAGTGAAAGGCCCCAGATGCTGTGGGGGGCAGTGAGTGGTCCTGGAGGGCTGAGCTACAGTCCTGTTCGAGGGAGGCCTGCTGGCCTCGCCCTCCCAGAGATTCTCCTCAGAGGCACGGGTCCCAGGGACAGGGCCCCTGTCAAGCCGCCTGCACTTAGGCCTAGCACTCACCTGGACTCAGGGGGCTGGGGTGCTCGGGGCCACGAGGCGGACAGCACCGCGTGCACACAGGGTTTCCCACTCCGCTTCAGTTCCTGCCCGGGGACTTGGCAGTGATGGGGGATGCCACCTGACCCAGAGCCCGAAGAGGTGACAGGTGTCTTCTTTAAAAACAATGCCCAGCCCAGGCCAACCTAAAACCCGGTTGGGTCTATACCGAATAGGACCTCACTCACCACAGGTAGCAAATCGGAGATGTGGCTCCAAGAAAGCAACACTTAAAAAGCTGGAAAGAGAGGATGGGAAGGGCCTTTGTGGTGGACGCCCAGCTGGTAACCGGAGGGAGATGTCTTTGGGAGACGATCGTCATCCATTATGTTGCTGTCGGCTTACAAAGGCTCTCCATGAGGCCCTCCCCACACTGGTGAACTGGTCAGGGACAGGCTTATTGCCCACTGCGACGTGAGAGCTGACCCCCCTCTCCACACCGTGGTCCCTTGGAGGCTAATTCTTTCTTCCATGAGTCGCCTTCACGTCGGGAAGCAAGGAAGCCCCTAGTCTGGGGCAAGAACCTGGGCCCTCCCTGCTTCGTAATTTGCTTCTAGAGCCTTGCTTTAAAAAAATCATCTGGCTACATCTCCTGCAGGTTCCCTTAGCCACTAAGGAGTAGAGCCAGGACTGGGACTGGCTTCTCCTGGAGGCCTGTCCGGTGCTCTGGGCCAAGCGGCCAGGCTCCCCTGCCCTGGACCTCCATGTCCCGGCTCTCTCTGCTTCCAGAACAGCCCCCGGAGATAGAGACCGGCGCTCAGGGACCGGGGAGATGGGGGGTGGCTGGCTGGGCCGCTGTGAAGACCTCGGTGTATGGGCAGTGCTGTGCGTACCTGAGCCATGGCGTTGGGGCGGGGAGGGTGGTGGCAAAGGAGCTGCGGGGACCCGTTCTGCTGCCTGAGAAGTGGACTCTGGTCCGCCCCCAACATCTTCCCCCCTCTCCCGCTTGCCTGCTCTGCAGGCAGGTTCTCTGGGATGAAGGGGGGCTGTCCCAGACCCTTGCAGGCCAAGCGTCCCCTCTCTGTGCAGGAGCCCTGGCCACCTGTTGTTAATCTAGCCCTGGTAATCCATTCTGTACTGTGTCAGCAGTTCAAAAGGGCACTGTTAGTATTTTTTGCCGACTTCAATTAATGTGAGATTTCAGAGGCCCCTCTGATCACATTTCATCTGTCACAAGTCAGGAACAAAACAGACAGGTTCCAGTCGAGAGGAGGAAGGAGAAGGAGTTTATTGCAAACACCGACCAAACAGACAGGGTGGGCTGTGCCCAGGGAAGGGCACCCCGGAGCGCCCAGTTGCTGCCGCTCAAGCCATTTGGGCCCCATGCCTAGGCCCTAGTCCCCTTCTCGCCAATACTCCTCCCCTCCCAAAGAAGATGTAAGTGCAATAACTTACTTTAAAAGGCAAGAAATGATTCTCTTAATAGTTTGCTATAATGTAGTTACACGGTGCTATAGGGCAGTAAAACTTTATGGAACTGACCTCATTTTTTTTAAACATTTTTTCTGAGTTTTTAATGTATTTTTAATATATATTTTTAATATTCCACCCCAGGCCATTAAGCTAAAGGAAAAGTTGCGTTTATACAGGGTTAAAATATCTTACAATGAGAACAGTCAGTGTTGGGTGAGGTTCACGTTCCTTGGAGCGCTCAGCTCTCTCTTCAACCACTGCACATCCAAACAGATTATTAGGCATTGAAAACTGTCCTTCAAAATCAGTAGTATAAACGCCTAGCTCTATGTGTGTACGTGAAGGGGGAGAGGCGGAGGGCGGGATTAGGTCACGTTTGGTTCGCCAGAAGGCCTTTCCTCCCTACAGCATCCTCGGTGAGGTGAAGCGGGGTTGTTGCGACTTTGGAAGTAGGGTTCTCGTGGTCTTCTCATTTTTCTCTCTCATGGCCATGGGTGATTATCCTGGGGCCGGTTTGCCAACCATCCTCCCCCCAGCTAGTCTGGTTTGCCTTTGCCCCTGATAGGGCCATCAAGCAAACCAGAGGCCCCGGGGTGTCCTCCGAGACGGTCTCCCCTCAACCTGGCTGCCCAAGCGAGATACACGGTAGCTTTCATGGACAAGCTCCTCTTGGCTACCCAGCCGAAAGGAGGGCCCGTGGGGCACTGGAGCTGGGCCCCACGTGGCCACTGCCGCAGATGCTGGGGACCCACCTCGAGACTGCCGCCCCCCCGTCCCCTTGCAGTGTCTTCCAACCCACCTGGCCACCATGCTTTCCCGAGCTGGAGGCGCGGTAGTGAGAGCCGAGAATCAAGTATAGCGGAAAGGATTCAAGAAAGGTTACAAAGTCCGTGTGTCCCCCCTCCGCCCCCCGCGCCGTGCCGTTGAGGATGTGGGGACAAGCCTCTCCGTGTGCCCCCAGGGCCCTCTCCCCCCGCGCCCCGGGAGTCGTGAGGGCAGCACCTTTGCGTCGAGCCCCCCGGCCGCCTGGCCTTGTTCCCAGCGGGGCCCGGAGGTTCTCAGTGCCGAGGAGGCTGCCCGTCGTCGGTCCGCTGACTCCTCAGGCTCGCGTCTCTGTCTCTGTCTCTGTCGAGACCTTGGGCACGGAGCCAAAGGGAATCCTCAGCTCGTGTAGCTTATTGGCTTGGCGGTGACCCACCGGGGCCGGCTGGCGCCCCTCTCTGCCCACCTGCCCGAGCCCTCGCGCCCGAGGAAGGCAGCCCGCTGGCCCCAGAGAGTCGGCCTGAGCTGCCGCGGGGACGCCTCCTGCCCTCCAAGGTCTGGGCCTGGCCACCCGCGGGGAAGGCGGCCAAGGGAAGGCTGAGGGGAGGGAGGCCCGCCGGCAGAGAGGGGAGAGGCAGGGGAGAGGCTGCGTGAGGCTCAGGCCCTGCGTGTACCCCACTCCCCAGGGCAGTCACGCCCCCCTCTGTCCACCCCCCGCTCCCCGCCCCGGGCTGGGACCTTCTCATCTCCATTGTGAAGGGAGTGTACTAAGTAGAGGATCTTTAAGTCCCTCCCAGCGCCGGGTTTTCTGATCCTCCGAGTATTGGGCCGGCCCTGGGGGGCCTGGGGCAGGGAACTACCTGTGGGGAGGTGAACAGGCACATTTCACCCCGACATTTGAATCATAAATACTTGGCTCTGTTGGTGAGAAGGGCAGCCAGAAAGCAGCCAGATAGAGGAATTGAGCACCAGGGGTCCCTTCCAGAAGAATCTGCCTAGAGCCCCCTCCCTCCCCTCCTCCTCTGGGGATCTCCCAGTTCTCCATCTCTCTGCACGGATCCCCTCCCGGGTAAGAACATGTGTGATGAGGGTTCCTCCCTTGTCCTTGCCAGCCACCAGAGCCCTTAAGGGGAATGATTCCCAGCCTTAAGAGCTTCTCCCTTTCCCTTCCTAGATTTGGGGAGCCTGAGTTATTTCAGTGAACCTCAGAACTGCAAAAGGCTTCCTAAGAGTCATTCCAAGATCCTCAGATATATGGAACATTTAAAACCAACATTTAACTCCATGTCCAAGATGCTTTTCACTTCTAGAAGATCCACGTTAGAGCTATACGGTTCACAAAGAGGTCTGACTCTTACCAAGGGAAGCCAAAGCCAGATCCTTCCCCAGGCCTGTTTCCAGGGCCGAGAGCACAAGGCAGGGGGGGAACTGTGATTCCTTCTAAGCCTTGAGCGGCTCAAGGGCAGAGGATCTCACCCTCCACCCAAACCAAGAGGCTGTCCTGTGTGCAGGCCCCCAAGCCTGCTGGACTTGGCCCTCCTCCCTGACTTGTCCCCAGGGGCTGCCTGCTGGAGGGGCCTCTCGGGCTCTCAAGGCCGGCCCCAGAGGACAGGGACCGTGTGCCACTAGGTTAGGTGACGGCTGGATCTGGTGCCAAAACTCGAGCTGCTCGTCTCCACTCAGGCAGAGGTGGAGTTCCTCCCCAGAAGGAGGCACCTTCCTGCAGGCAGGGAAACGGCTTCTGGACGGCATCCTGCCCCCCACATCTGGAACAGAGCGACCCAGAGGAGCGGAGCCCACCAGCCCTTCTAGAGGCTGGAGAGAGGGGGCTGAGATTTCGGATTCCCTAGGGATGAAGGGCAAGAGCAGGCTCTCTCTGCCCTCGCCTGGAAGAACACGGGGCCCCCACCCACCGTGGAAGGCTCTGGGCAGGTAGGGTGCCGCTCCAGGGATGGCTGGCGAGGGACAGGCAGTCTGAGGCGGTTGTAGGGGCCGAGAGGCAGAGTGTGAGCACACATCCTTTAGCAAATTCCGCATGCTGCTCTCGACCCCCCTCTCCCAACATGACTGCAGGCCCTACTCGTGTGTTCCGAGGTATAAGTCCTTCCACGCCAGGACACTGCTCAGCAGCCCTGGTGAGCTCCCAGAATGGGTGGGGGAAGGGACAAGCGTCTCCAGGTCCTCCTGGAGGGGCCTGACTGGCTAGAGAACAAAGCTGCCCAGACCTGCCCACTGCAACAGGCATCCTGCGGGTTGTGGGCTGTCGGGCGGTCTGGAGAGCAGAAGTGAGTGCCTGAGCCCCTGTCCCTTCCCGGACACCTCCTGGCAGCTCTTCCTCTCTCTAGAAGCTCTTCTTCTTGCAGCACTGTGGATACTGTGGGTGGCCTGTGTCCTCCCCTTGCAGTGTTCACCGAGATCCAGAGTCTGCAGGTGCAAGGGAGCTGGAACAAGCCCCTTCGGGGACGGTCCACTCTCCTAGACGCCAGCATTGCTGGATGACAGCAGGATTCTTCAGCTCCAGCCCCTCTCCTGTTCTGTCCAGCGCTCCAGGTGGGTCCAGCGCAGGGGCACGGCCAGGGTGGGTGGAGGTGAGGCGGGTGCCTTGGGCCCAGGAGGTCGGATTCCGTGGGCTTTTAGGAGGACAACGGGGCGATGGGAGGGGCAGGAGGCCAACTCTGCAGGACTCGGAAGAACAGAACTCTGTTCTTCAGCCACAGTCACTGGCCCGGTGACCAGGGGACCACATGGCAGAGGGAAGGACGGACGTGACGGCACGTGGCCGTTGCTCGGTCTGGATGGGAAACTAGCCTTGACTCAACCCTCAAACTGGGCAGGGCAGAAGAGCAGGAGTGGGGAGAAAGGGTCTTCAGCTTATAATGGATGCAAAGCTGCAAAACTCGGCCACCTGGCTTCCTCCACGGCCTCCGGCCAGGAGTGGGGGCTCGGCCTCGGTGCCAGGGCGGGCGGGACCTGCTGCCCCCTCCCTCCCAGTGGCCCACGGGGCCTCACACTTGGGGTGGCTGAAAGTGCTGAGGGCCGGGCCCCTGGCCCAGGCCAGGTTCCTAAGAGGAGAGTTGAATGGGAGGCTGGGGGCCTGGGGAGCGTGGGCGTGGCCAGGGCCCCAAGGTGGGGGAGCGCGTGGGGATGGGCCGAGCGGTGCCCTGTCATGTGGCCCAGGAGATGGCCGCACTGTGCTCCTTGGCCTTCATGCGCAGGGCCGCGATGCTCGAGGTCTTGCGGTCCGGCTCGCCGTTGAGCTCGTAGCCGTTGAGGCCCGGGCTGAGGCCCGCTGCTCCGAACAGGCCTCCCATGTGTGTCTGGCCCACGTGGCCGCCTGCCCCGGAGACGCTCAGGAAGTCGGTGACGCCGCTGGCCCCGGAGCCCGGGGGGTGGGTGTGGGGGGACATGCAGGCGGGCACCGGGTCGCAGGGGACCACACAGGCTGGCACTGGCGAGGCAGCCCCATTGTTGCCGAGCCAGGATGGGTTCTGAATCTGGGGAGAGGGAAGGGAGAGCCGGCTGGGGCAGGGCTGCGGGGGAGGGCACGTGGGGGGCGGGTGGCGGGCCCTGTCCCCAGACGACCTCGCCCCGCTCACGAGCCCCTCGTTATGCTGAGACCACGCCCGAGTGTTTACCCGGAGCCTCTCAAAACCTTTATGGCCATCCGGACCTGGGAGGGTTTGGGTTTTGTGCTTGGCTCCCAGCAGAGAGAAATGGTTTCCAGGACCGAACTTCGAACTCCATCAAGGGCCCGGTGACAGGGCTGCCTTCAGGGCACAGCCAAGCTGCTGAGGGCGGCCCCTGCCTCAGTCCGCTGACTTCGGAATTTGAGGTGCAGGGGCCGACTTTCCCTCCCTGCGCCCCTGAAGGTCAGCAACTGTGTCTTACTCCCCCGTGGCTCCTCACCAGGCCTGGGGCATCTCAGGAACCTGAGAAATGGGAGCTGACCCCAACTCAGAGAGCTTTGGCGTTGGGAACGTGGGCTCTGGGCTTGCAGGTTGTGGTGTGGAGGGGGCAGGGCCGGGCAGTGGGGCCTCATCTCCCAGTGTCAAGACCAGCGGCTGAGCTTCCAAAGGCTGTGTCCTCGAGGCTTCACAACTGGCCCAGGATGGAAGGGGCTGCCTCAGGACGTGGTGAGTGCCCACGGGTGGATGGATGAAGCCAGGCTGGATGCCCACAGGCCAGGGCGTGTGTGTGTGTGTGTGTGTGTGTGTGTGTGTGTGTGTGTGTGATGCTCAGGCAGCACGTGGGGGTGGACTGGAGGCCGACCTGGGCTGGGGAGGACCAGGGTGAGCAGGACCAGAGGAAACGAGAACTCTCAGCCCTGTGCATGGGATCACAGGGGGCCCTCAAGCAGCTTCTGCTGGCCTGCTCTCCTCCCCACCCACGTTTGTAGTCCACTCACACTGAAAGCTGAATGAGGGGGGACCTCGGCCCCCAAGTCCCACAGGGCATTGTCATGGCCACAAGAACCACTGGCAGATTGGCCTGACCACATTCCTCCTGCCTGGGGTGGTGGGGAATCAGCGGCTTTTCCCTTCCCCTCGTCAGGAGGCGTGTGATATGTGGTGTTGCAGGTGGGAGGGGTGAGCCCGCCCTGTGTTGGTCCCCTCCCCGCTCCCTCCAGCAGGGAGCTCAGGCAGCAGAGATCCAGACCCAGGAGCCAGGCTGGAGGCTCATCCTCCCAGGACAGAGGGCGGGGAGAGAGGAAAGTATGCAGCAGGAGCTGAGGATGAGGTGTGTGTGCGTATGTGTGCGCGCGCGCGCGCGCGTGTGTGTGTGTGTGTGTGTGTGTGTGTGTGTGACACCCCACATTCCTCAGCCTCACCCCAGGCCTGACCCCCTGACCCCATGGATCCCAGCAGGGGGAGGGGCAGAGCTGGTCTGGGGGCGGGGGGAGGGCATCCCGGGGGGCCCCGGGACAGTGGGTCTTAAAGGAAACAGGAAGGCCTGCGCCACCGGCTCGCTGCTGGGTGGGGCCGGGCTTGGAGCTGAAGGCAGAGGCCCTGCTGCCCCGGCCACCAAGAGGCCTGAGGGGAGGGGGCAGTCGCCTCTGCCGGGCAGGCTGTGGGGTGTGAGGAGTGGGCCCAGCTAGAAAGACATCTCTGCAAGTGCCGTGGTGTCGGCCACTGCTCACACCACTTCTCACCCCTTTGCATCTCTTGAAGACTCCAATGCCGCTAGAATGGGGCCAGGCTGACGGGACGGGACAGAGGAGAGGGCAGGTCGGGACACAGCCGCCTGGGAGAGCTCAGAGCTGCAGAGCGACCTTTAACCGGCTATTTAGTCCCCAGAGTACTTCTGTGTTGTCTAATTTCGGCCTTTCAACAACCTCACGAAAGAGTTGGGGTGGGCACTTTCATCGTGTCCAGTTTTCAGAAGACACCGAAGCTCGGAGAGCTCATGGCTTGTCTGAAGTGAGAAGGGTCTGGGGCCGAAGGACAGCACGTCTCGGGACTCAGACCTCCCTGTTCGCTACAGCCCTACCTCAAGCCCCCCAGCTTTCCGGACTTCGCTTTCCTAGGAGACACTTGGGGTGGCTCCTGATGGCCTGGGGGCCCTGGTCTTCAGCCTGCCTTGCTTCTGATGCCCACAGCGAAAGGGGCAAACATGGCAGAGGAGAAAGCCTCCCTCTCTGTCCAGGCCTGCCCCTCCCTAACGCCCAGCCAAACCTGGGCCTGCAGGCAGGATAAGCAGAAATGGCCCCCGCCTCGCACATTCTGGGGCAAACAGGCACACACCTGCACCGGGCTTGATGAGTCCCATCTGAGGGGGGCTAGGCCCTCCTCTGAGATGCCCATTCCCGGAGCCAGAGGGGCTGGAGCCGGCCGCTCGGGGCTGGGACTTACCTGGGCATAGTTCTCCGCCCGGGTAAGGAGGGGCAGCTCGTAGGCAGTGGAGAAGTGGGTTCGAACCTGCTGCATCTGCCCAAAACGCTCCCTCTTCCTCCACTTGGCCCTCCGGTTCTGGAACCAGACCTACAGGACAGAGCAGTTGTCACGGGGGGGTCAGAAGGTACACGTCATTCCCTGGAGCTCCCACCCATCGCAGCGCATGGTCTGGGCCATGGGGCTGCAGGGAAGGGTCTGCCTCAGCCTTTAGCTTCCAGGCTCACAATCTAGAACGAGCCGTGCTGAGGGTCGGGAAGGCGAGCTTAACCCCAACTAACCACAGTGTGCTCTTGGGCCAGACTTCGTTATTCCAAGCTTCAGAATGCAGAGCAGGCAAGTGTCGCACCCACGCATCACGTCACTGGTCATCCTAGCGGTCATCTAACCAACCCCAGCACCGTGTGGCCTGGCCTGCCTCAGGCCACGGACTCCTGAGGGGAACCTGACAAAAGTTGTGACGGCTCCTCTCGAAAATCATTCTCTAGATGCTCACACAGTCTGGCCACAATTTCCCAAAAGCTCCGGGGTTCCCTGGGGCCTGTCTAGTGGCCCAGAATCAGAATTCCTACCTGTCTGAGTCCTCTCTGCAGCCTTCGTGTTGGAAAGTCTCCCCACTCGGGCCCCCTGTGGCAGCAGAGGCCTTCAGGGATGGCTTCGTGGAGGGGGGGCCTGGGGCCGGGCCCGAGTGTAGAAACAGCAGGGCACGCTCAGGAGACCCCAGGAGGCCCCGCTGCTCAGCTGGCCGGTGGTGGGAGAGAAAGACCCGTGGACGCAGAGGTCAGATTGTGGAGGGCCTTGATGCCCAGCCCGGGGCTTTGCTCTTGGTGTGGTCAGTAAAGGTGGCCACTGCGAGGTCTCATGCAGAGGGTGGCCTGACTCTAAGGAGGAGTGAAGACCCCCCTGTCCCTGAGCAGGGGCCGCTGGGGCATTGGCTGCAGTGGGGAGGGTGGTCTCTGAGCCAGGTGTGTGAGCTGTGGTCTCTGACGGGTGGGTGGGGGCTGTTGGCTCCCTTGCAGGAACACTTCTGACAGGCTGAGAACTTTCCCAGGCTTCACGGGCAAGAGCTGGACTTGGGGCCTGCTAGCCCTGCACGTGGCTTGGGATCTGGGGCCGGGGCGGGGGGGGGGAAGGGGCAGGGACAGGTGGGAGAGGGTGTGAGGAGGGGAGGGGTCAGCTTCCAGACCAGAAATGGCTTCAGGCTGAGTCAAAGGCAGGCTTCGGAGTCCCCAGAGAGAGGTTTCTGTCAGCTGGGTCCCTGCCAGTGGACTCAGGTGCAAGGGGGCACACCCCAACGGCAGCCCACCAGCAGCCGAGCTGAGAGCAGCACCGAGCATCCTCGGAGGAGGGAGAAGGAGCTGGGCCAGAGGCGGGGAGCGCTGCCCGCAGGGTAGCGCAGGGGCTGCTCAGCCTGTTCCGGCTTCCAGGGGAGCCGCGCCCCCCGAGCGCCCATTCCAGCCCTGGCATTGCCACTGGCCTCGCTTTCTGTGTCTGCAAAATGGGGCCAATATCTGTACTGATGTCCTCACGGGGGTGGCGCCTCATAGAACAGCAGGTGAGAGATGATAGATGCTGTCAGAGTTTCTGAGAGTACTGCACACTCGTTTATTTAGAGCTCCTCACCTTTTTCTTGCTGTCTTTCGCTAAAAGGAAAAGAAGCTGGGATGTGTGTGACTCATGTCAGTGTGGGGAGGGTGGGGGCAGGGAGCCAGTGTGGCGCTGAACCTCAGTTTCCTTCCCTGGTCCCAAGGACACATGCATGTGTGCCTACGCACGCGCACGCGCACACACGAGCTGGCATTGCTTTGACAGGCATTCTGCCTCCCTGACTTGAGTCTGGTGTAGGAGACGCACTCAGCCCCTGCTCCAGAGCCTCCTGGGCCCCTTTTCCTCCAGGGGCTCCTGGGGTCCAGGCCCAGGCCGCCCGCTGAGAGCCAAGGGCGGATCGGGTCTCCTCTCTGCGCCACTGAAACGGGATCCCCCTTTATCAGTGGCCTGGAATGGGGGCCGGGGGGCAGGATGAGAGAATGAATCAGAGGAGCTTGTTTTCATTTCATGTTTAATTTCCTGCAGGCTTAGCTCCGTCTTTCCGCTCCTTCCTCAGCCTCCCAGGGTTTGCTGGGGGGGAAGCCAGGGGGAGGGGAGAAGCCCACTGGAGGCATCAAGATATATGGCTCCATTCTTTCTTCGGGGGGTGGGGAGAAGGTGAGGAAAAGCGTCCGTGGCCGCCACTGTGGGGGGTTTGCCGGGAGCCCCGGTGGTGGGAGGCGGGAGCGGCAGGTGGAGGGGTGCTCCTGGAGATGTCCCGCAGGCTCTGGATGGGCTGGGGAGGCACTGCAAGGGGACGGGGGCGGCCGGTCCCAGAAGTGGGAGGAGGAGCACAGTGGGGGGAGATGGAATGTGGGGGCTGGAGCAGTGGTGGGGGTGCTGGGTTATCTGGGAAGACAGCTGAGCAGCGGGGGAGTGCACAGAGATAACGCTGTCTTTGGGATGGGAGTGGAGGAGGGCCCGGCCCAGGGATGGAAGGGAGGGTTAAAGACCCAGAGACTTCGGGAGGCGGGAGGCGAGGCTGTGGGGCAGCAGAACCGCCCAAACCCTCTTCCCTTGCCTGCAGCACTGGGCCCCGTTCCTGCGCAGGGCTGGAGCTCTTCTGCTAAGTGAGCCCCGCGGCTCTGCAGTCTCAAGCCTCAAGCCCCCCAGCTTGGGTGGCGGCCGGACATCCTCAGGGCCCCTCTGAGCTCACGGTGGAGGGCCTGGAGATGAGGCACGGCCGTCCTTCCATCTCTGGCCCCCGGAGCCTGGCGCTCGGAGAGCTCCCCACAGATGCTCTGTGCCTCAGGGCTCTTCGGCCCCAGCCTGTCTCCACAGGACAACCCTAAGGGGGAGAGGGGACCACGAGGTCCAGCCTTCCAGTCTGCATGTCGCGCCCCAGGACCACCCCGCTCCCGGCCCACCCTGGCCTGGGCCTGCTCAGCACAGGCCTCTCCCCAAGGAACCAACCGTCTTGGCAGGGGCCTCAGTAACCGCAGCCCATCTGGGGCCAGGGCGGGGTGGCCCAGGGCGGGGAGGCCTCTGTCTTATTGTCTTCAGCACCAGCTGCGGAGATTGGAATCCCAGACAGCAGAGAGAGGCCCCTGCAGCCCCTGGAGCAGGGCCAAGCCCCGAGCTTCTTCCCAGGAAAGGTCCCTCTTGGAGCCGCCCACCCCCTCCCTGTCCCCAGCGCCACTCTATGCCAGGCACCTGGCTTCCCACCAGCCGAGTACGGGCCCCGAACAAACCCAGCAGGGGCAGGCAGGGGGTTCCACCACCACTCCCCCCAAACCTCGGGGCACTGCCAGGCTCGATCCAGAGGTCTGACGCACATGGAGATCCCACCCACCCTGCTGCCTTTATACAAAGAAAAGTCTCAGAACAATATGGCCCATGTCCTGGCAGAGCCAACTAAAGTAAAAGAAACACTGGGCTGGAGCTCTGGAGTCCTGGATTCTAGTCTCAGCCCTGCCATTGAGTCACTGTTCCTGAGTCACCTGACCACAGGTGATCACGTCCCACCTGTGGGCCTCCTCCTACTTATTATCAAATGAGAGGACCAGATAGATGATCCTTTCCAGCACTAACATTCTATATTCCTATGATCCTCCCCTTAGATGAGAAGATATGCAAACACATCAGCGTTTCCCTTTCTGCCTTGGCTGCTGGGAAGCTCAGGGTTGAAATCTGTGCTCAGTGGCAACTATGATTATTAGCCTAGATGTTTGACGTAATTACCTGTCTATTTCATGGCACCGTTCTTGTTTTTAGATGAAACTAACAAGTCTTTAATTGTAGCTGCCTCAACTCTATTTTGGAAGCAGGCATAAATGGGTGTGTGCACACATGCAGAGGGAACACTCTGCTTTGGTTATGCGATGGCACCTGAAAAATGTTCTCTATAGCCCAGTGTCGTTTCCATGGTTTGTCCTAGAAAAGCCATCCTTTTGATACTAAGTGAATTCTACTCCCAGGCACTCCCATGCACTTGTAAGGAACACACACACACACACACACACACACTGTGCAAAGGATGTATCAGTCGATCCCACACGAACACGCTGCCTATAGGAATGTCCCATAACCAGCCACCCCCTTCTCCACCAGCTCCTTCAGTTCCTCCCAATCCACGGGCTGGGCCGAGGCCAGGTTCTGGGGTTCCTGTCCAGACTCTGAGGCCCGGGAGGTCACATGGCGGCCTATCCTGATGCAAATAAGATAGCCGGTGCATGAATGCTTGTGGAATGACAGGAAAGCCTCACCTGCCCTGCCTTCCTTCCCCAACCGTTCACCAGGCACTGGGCAGGAATAAGAGGGGCAGCCGGACTCCAGGAACTTGTGGCCAAACAACCCGACTGTTCACTCTGGGTACCTGCAGTTTCTGGATGGCTGCATATTTATGGTAATTGCTGGTCCTTTCTCGCATGATCCATTTTGAATGAAAACGTTTCTGGACGATGTTACAGAAGCTCTGCCTTGTTACACAGAACATGGTTGTGACTGATGCCTTAGTGAACTTAGGCAGCAGGGGGCGCCCTTGGGGCCTGCGGATAACGGAAGGCTCTGTCCTGGCCCTGAACCCACATCTGAGCTGAGCTTAGCCCAGCTGAGCTGTGTTGCTTTAAAAAAAACACAACCCAAGAACTGCTCTTTGTTCTCAAGCTGTTGACTTCCCTCACCCCACTGGAGGGGGAAAAACCGCTATCTGACAACACTTTATTTGCCATTCCTCATATGCTCTGGGATGGAAAAGTAGACTGAGCATGACATTTATTTGTGTGAAGCTGAAGCCTGAGCTTTAGTGCATGGATTTTGTCTCCTGTGTTTTGGGTACTCAGAGGTCTTTGCTTCCTCTCTGGTTCTTTTCTTGTTGTAACTTCATGCGAGGAGGGAGGACACACCTCTCTGGACAAAAGAGGTCCACCAATCTACAAATATTTATTTTTTGCCCTTGTTGCTCTGAGTTCAGCCTTCTCTATTTGGTAGGAATATAGTGATGAACAATCAGACAGTACCTGTCTTCAAGGAACTCACATTATAGTGAGAGGAGACAAACATAAAATCATTTAAGCCAGTCATATATTCTATAAAGAAAAAAAAAACAGGACAATGTGGGAGAAGGTGACCTGATTTGCTTGTGTTGTGTTATGTTGGTTTGGGATGAGTTGTGTTGTGTTGTGTTGGCTGTGTTGGTTTGGGTTATGTTGCATTGGGTTGGGTTCTGTTGGATTGTGTTGAGCCGTGTTGGGTTGGGTTGACTGTGTTATTTGGGTTCTGTTGGGTTGTGTTGAACTGTGTTAGGTTGGGTTGACTGTCTTGTATGGGTTGTGTTGGGTTGGCTGTGTTGCTTTGGGTTATGCTGCCTTGGGTTGGGTTCTG